ACTACATAAAAAACAAAATACACTTTAAATCAAGCCAAGTAAAATTTCTAGATATATGACTCATTGTGCACTATTTTGGTCGTGTAAAAAATTTGCCCAATTTATCAAGTAAAGTGACAAATAGAAAATTCTTTCAATGGTTTCATGTCTTCAGGCTCAATGATGAAAGTCTGCAGTTTTAGCCAGAACTTCATCTCATCCACGATTCCCGTCTCGTCTGAACCCTTAACATCGACGATATTATATCTCACGACTGGGACCAATATCGACGATATTCTTACTATATCTCACGACTGGGACCAACATCGGCGATATTCTTACTATATCTCACGACTGGGACCAATATCGACCATATTCTTACTATATCTCACGACTGGGACCAATATCGACCATATTCTTACTATATATCACAACTGGGACCAATATCGACGATATTCTTACTATATCTCACGACTGGGACCAATATCGACGATATTCTTACTATATCTCACGACTGGGACCAATATCGACGATATTCTTACTATATCTCACGACTGGGACCAACATCGACGATATTCTTACTATATCTCACGACTGGGACCAATATCGACCATATTCTTACTATATCTCACGACTGGGACCAATATCGACCATATTCTTACTATTTATCACAACTGGGACCAATATCGACGATATTCTTACTATATCTCACGACTGGGACCAACATCGGCGATATTCTTACTATATCTCACGACTGGGACCAATATCGGCGATATTCTTACTATATCTCACGACTGGGACCAATATCGACGATATTCTTACTATATCTCACGACTGGGACCAATATCGACGATATTCTTACTATATCTCACGACTGGGACCAATATCGGCGATATTCTTACTATATCTCACGACTGGGACCAATATCGACGATATTCTTACTATATCTCACGACTGGGACCAACATCGGCGATATTCTTACTATATCACACGACTGGGACCAATATCGGCGATATTCTTACTATATCTCACGACTGGGACCAATATCGACGATATTCTTACTATATCTCACGACTGGGACCAATATCGGCGATATTCTTACTATATCTCACGACTGGGACCAATATCGACGATATTCTTACTATATCTCACGACTGGGACCAACATGGCGATATTCTTACTATATCTCACGACTGGGACCAATATCGACGATATTCTTACTATATCTCACGACTGGGACCAACATGGCGATATTCTCACTATATATCACAACTGGGACTTTAGTTTAATAATATCATGACAAATATAATCCTTATTTTAGTAACTAATGTGTCAGAGCGAGCCCTAACACCACCCTAGATTATCTTGGTTTAACAGCCCACCGGGAAGACGAGTTAGGATAATAAGTACAAGGCCATAAAAAGACCACACCCAAGATTTAAGAAATCACACTTTATTAGATTGAGACTAGACTTCATTAATAAAAACAAAATCATGACATCTAGATATTTAATGACAATCAAATTGTCCAGTAGAAAAAACAATCATCATGTCGCTTGATAAAAAAAAATAGAAGTATGATATGATAATGTTAATGGGGGTTCGAATATCGAAATCGAACATTATATTCGAATATAGCGACAATTAGTTAGTTAACTTCAACCATTGATCACGTGACGGTTTATTGACAAGCGGATCACGTGATACAAAATGTCCAAAGTTTATATTAATTTATTAAAGATTAGAAAGAAATATCAGTTTATCTCGACTTGAGATCGTGACGGAAGTCGAGTAGTGTTGTCACCATGTCGAGCCCCATCAAGAAAGATGCTGTAATAATCGGAGCGGGTATTTCAGGCCTAGCAGCAGCTAAATGTTTAAAAGACGATGGTTTTGATGTTGTTATTTTAGAGAGGACGGGGGAAGTCGGTGGTTTGTGGACGTTCAGAGAAAATGACTATGGTGTCATGAGATTTACACACATGTAAGAATTGTAGAAATATTAGGTTCAATATGTCCTGGGTCTTAGCTTAGATTTCCCTGGCGCTACATTGAAATAGCAGGATCTCTGTTTATCATAAAACAACAGGTATTGGAGTATCTTGTTTAAGAATCCAGTCCATAAAATTAGTCTTTAACTGCAATTTCTAACCACAATGATTGAAATTGATTGCTGCTTCCTCTGCTAGGTCTGTAAGATATTAACTGTTGTGTGTCATCCTGAACAAACAGAGCCTGGGACTTCAGAGTTAGTAAAAACCTCTCGAGTAATAACTAGTTTTATATTTTATAGAAATGTATCGAAGTATAATTATTGTTTCTCTGACTTTCCGTTTCCTGAAAACGTAGGAGATTATCCTCACAACTCGGACATGGCCAAATATATTTACGATTATACCACACATTTTAAACTAGATCAGATTATCCAGTTTAATACCAAGGTTGTTTCACTTGAGAAAAAAGGTGAGTTGGAAATTGGCATGCTGATGAGATGTAAAACTAAAAGATGTGACTAAATGTGCTGATTATCTTATTGACTAAATCTGCCTAACCATGGTTTGGATACTAAATCTTCATCAGGACATATTGAAGGAGCTAAAGATATTATTAAAATATTGATTGTATTTTACAGGAGATGAATGGGAAGTTATAACTGTTAGAATGGAAGATGATGGACAGACAGGAACAGAAACTAATGATAAACAAGTTTATATTGCTAAATATGTTGCTATAGCAACAGGACATCATGCTGAACCTACATTTCCTGAGTTTAAAGGGCAAGAAACATTTAAAGGTACTGCACCAGTTATTGTTGTGGCTGTAAATCCGTCTTTATCAACCTAACCATGTATCTACCATCGCTCAGCTGTTTTTAAATTGTCCATAAAATACCTAAGTATTAAAAATCTGAACTTCAAAACAAAATCAAAATCCAAAACAACTGTTTGACAAAACATATATTAATTATAATTGAGAAAGTATATACCCAGTCAATTTATGGATTATTGTATATTTTCGTTACTAGGGGAGATAATTCACTCAGTAAAATATAAAGACTGTATAACCAATGGAATGGTGGGTAAAAGAGTTCTGGTAGTAGGAATTGGTAATTCTGCTGTTGATATTGCTACTGAATGTGCTTCTGCTGGGAGGTAAGCTCTCTCATCCACCAGATATCATTCTTTAATTACTTGTCACCATAGTCCACCAGATATCATTCTTTAATTACTTGTCACCATAGTCCACCAGATATCATTCTTTAATTACTTGTCACCATAGTCCACCAGATATCATTCTTTAATTACTTGTCACCATAGTCCACCATACATCAATCTTTAATTACTCGTCACCAGGATTTTAAAATGATTTGAATAATTTAGTTATATTTTTTAAATGGCATGCTATCTTTATTACAGGCAAAGTTTTAATTAGGTTTCTCTGGAATTCATCATTGCTGGATTCTTTAAGTTAATATTATATTATATTTCTAGATGTAAGTCAGTGTTTATCACTACACGATCTGGAGCCTGGGTCGTACCAAATTATATCTTCGGCTACCCCACAGATACCTATGCTTGTCGAGCATTCTTCTTGTTACCATGGAAATGGGCTAATTTTATATTTGAGAATATTATTAAACTTGTCTCAGCTAGTCCCAGAAGGTAGGTTGAAGATTGTTTACTCAGGTTGAAGATTGTTTACACCAGGTCATTAAATTCACTCTTATTATTTATATTACAAGCTATTTAATTACCAGTTAGAACTCTAGCTTATTTTACTCTGTTTACTTTCAGGTGGGGTTTGAACCCTAAAATGAAGGCGTTACAAACTCAGCCTACAGTTAGTCCAACTTTAATACATCATATACAGAGACAACAGATTAAAATAGTTCCTAATATATTGGTGAGTTATTAATCCATCCTATCAAGTCTAATGTAATCAGAGTTAGGAGAGTTGTATACAATCCACAGTCCAACTTCTACCTGAGCCTCTCTCCTTCTTGAAAGTCTGTTTTCTACTATAATACCCTGGTTTTAAAGTATTAAATTAGGTATTAAATCATTATTTTATGTTTGTATGCCAAGTTTTAATATCTAGAGAATAATATTTTCTATTTTAGAGAGTAGAAGGAAGTAGAGTAGAGTTTGTAGATGGTCAGTCAGCTGAATTTGATGTTATAATTTTATGTACAGGATACAAGATTAGTCTGCCCTATTTACAGAAGACTATCAGAGACAAGGTGCTGGAGGAGGAGTCTAATACTATTCGGGTAATTATACAGTTATATTGTTGTCAATTAATTTACTGAGAAAGTGGTAGGTCTATATACATGATTGTGTTTGTACTGTCTCTTTCTTTATTTTTAATATATCATTACAATTTTTATATATTTCTGTCATTTTTAGTTTGAAGAGAGAAAATAGTTGGTCTATATAAATATATATATTTCTCTATCTGTCTATGTTTTTAATATGTATAATATTTCTAGTGTTTTATACTATTCTGAATATTTCTAGTGTTTTATACTATTCTGAATATATCTAGTGTTTTATACTATCCTGAATATTTCTAGTGTTTTTTGTGGGAAAAGTGAAAATATTTTATATTTTTATTTTCTAGTTGTACAAGAATGTATTCAGTCCAGATATCGGTTCTAGTTTAGCGTTTATTGGATTTGTCCAGCCGGCGTCTGGTGGTGTTCTAACAATGTCAGAAATACAGGCACGCTGGTTCTCGGCACTCTGTCATGGTTCCGTTAGATTACCATCAAAACAAATCATGTTAGAAAGCATGAAGGAAGAAAAGGTATGATGGTTGTTTAAAGCTCATTCTTGTTTAACTCATTGGAAATAATATATTTATACAAAACTATAAGAAGGGAGGTAACTCTGTTTATTAAAACAAGCCAATGAAGGAAGGGAGGTAACTCTGTTTATTTTATATTTTAGATGGCTTACAGTGAGAGATATTATAGATCTAATAGACATACAATACAGAAAGATCCTATAGTGTATAATGATGATATAGCCAGTATGATAGGGGCTAAACCTAATATTTTAAAACACCCTTCACTAGCCTGGAGGTATGTTTGTTTATTTGTTCATTAGCCAGGAGGTATGTTTGTTCACTACTGGAGGTATGTTTGTTCACTAGTCTGGAGGTATGTTTGATCACTAGCCTGGAGGTAGGTATTTTTGTTTATTTGTTCACTAGTCTGGAGGTAGGTATGTTTGTTTATTTGTTCACTAGCCAGGAGGTATGTTTGTTCACTAGCCTGGAGGTATGTTTGTTTATTTGTTCACTAGTCTGGAGGTATGTTTGTTCACTAGCCTGGAGGTATATTTGTTTATTTGTTATTAATATAGAGAGAGAAGATTAATGGTATTTTATATTATTTCCTACAGCAGTCTTAAACTCATTGACAGGGCAGTTAATCACTAAAGTAGATGTTTTATTTTTATCTTTATAACCACTTAGATGACTGCATTTCTTCTGAATAATGTTCTACGTTATTTTCCAGGTTGATGTTATCATCGTGTGGTGCCTATCAATGGAGACTACAGGGTCCCAACAAATGGTCGGGATCCGAGGAGGCCGTTCGAAAAGTTCCGTTAACAGAACTCATGAACTATTCTGCCATTGTTCTGTTATTCATCATCGGATTGCTCTTAATATTCTTTCTACGATTTTTTTACAAAATTGTTGATTTTATATTTTAAATGAGTGTTACCATGACGATGACCCCCGGGTCAATCTCAGTGAATTCTGGGACCAAATGGAAAATAAATTTGTTAAGTTTTTATTATTGTTATATTTACAAATATAATCAAAACCATACCACTAGCCAACATATTAGTAATTCAGCATAGTTAATTTATATTGACAGGAGCACATCTCATTCTGACACATGTTTCAGACATACAATCCTCATCAGGACATGTAGTTTTTTAATTGAATATTATTGTACAATTAGTTTTAAACATTATTGTAACTTGCATTGTAAAATCAGTCCATTCACTTAAACAGTTTTCATCACATTTTTACTTTTCAATTAATAAATAAGGCCTTAAACTTTATTTCTATGATTGACACAAGAGTCTAGCAAGGCCTATAACTCTAGAACTTAAAATAAGAGTCTAGTAAGGCTGTAACTCTGTTCACACTTTAACGGGAGAGTCTAGCAAGGGCTATAACTCTGTCCACAGTTTCTCTATAGGTTTATATTTAGCCTGATTTATAACTTTCTGTGTGAGATGATATATTTCTTCGTGAAGATCTTCTATTGATCTGTCGGCGTCAATAACCTGCAATAGAATTGGTTGTCCTGGTGTCAGTTGTAAATTACAGTGTCCATTTTTTATAGTCAGGACCTGGTTTCTTAGAGTGTAATGTAATGGACAGGAAGAAGTTGAAATATTGGGTCTATTTTTGTTTCTTTTTTCTTAACTTTGTTGAAAAAATCAAGTTCATTACCTGCCAATGTTTATCTTTTAAATCTTGAAAGTTTTTAGCCACTTTTTCTTGAAAAACTTCTTTCTCGTATCTCTCTTCTCCAAACCCTCCACGTTTGGCTGCTGCCTCAGATGTCAGGGTGAGGTATAGAACTGTATCAGGTTGAGGAAGGCCAATATCTGTTTGTTTACACCACTCTAGACTGAATCCCTGAATAAAATATTCAATATTATCACCACAGAAATATAGAAATAAATTGTTTTACAGAATGTAAGGAAAATCTTTGTCAAGAGGTATGACCAAGAACCAGCTGGTAGACAGGATTCTTGTAAACCTTAATTTCTAACTTTGTAGTTGTTTCTTGCTTTTTGTGGTAAATAACTAGTTATTTCTTACCTGTTTAGCAGCAGTAAAGGCAGCTCCACTGTAGGCGTATCTATCAACTATTAATGTTGTTCCTTGGTTTAGTAGAGTCATCATAGTGTCCCTAAAATATAAATAATTTACTACAAACATCACTCTTCATTACTTAATGACTTACTGGTACTACAAACATCACTCTTCATTACTTAATGACTTACTGGTACTACAAACATCACTTTATACTTATTGACTTACTGGTACTACAAACATCACTTTATACTTATTGACTTACTGGTACTACAAACATCACTTTATACTTATTGACTTACTACAGACATCACTTTATTTTGACAAACCAGACTTACCTAGCCTCCCAGCGATTGGCAGAAAATAAGAGATGTATAGCATGGTCTTCTAAATCATAAGTTTGTCCTAAATAACTGTTAATCATTTTACCAATAGTTGTCCTTCTGTCTGAAAATTAGTTAAAAAAACATTTTCTAGTTTTATTGCACCAGATTGAGAAATATCATTAAATATAGGCACTAACAAGTCAAACAATGACCATAGCCATGGGCATACTCAGAAATAAAAAGATGGGGGTAAGGGTAGGGTTAGATAACTTTAAATTAATTTTTAATGTTAAAATAAAAAAAAATACCTGGAAATTTCAAAAGTTTGGCCTTGATTCCTGTATTTTTGAGTCTCTCGACGAGTTTTCCACACTGAGTGGATTTTCCACTTCTGTCACAGCCTTCAAACACAATTAGCGCCCCTCTTTCTATTTGGTTTGACACTGCCATTGATACATTAGACATTTTCCTCGTCTTTTGAAATTGTGATAATGAAATAAATTTCCGCCAAAACATCAAGTTTTTATATCAAGACGTCTGGTTGAACGAGAAATAATCGACCTTGACCTTTCAGTTATAGAAGGGACGTAACTCGCCCGCTGCTAATTCTCTGAATTTAGAAATTTCTTATCAGAATGTCAACAATTTGTTTGCTTATTGCTTAATTTCCCTACAACTCTCAGGTTTGTCATTCTGCCTTTTAGTTTTCATGAATGGGACCGTTTGCCTTTTGAAATATTATCTCAAATGGCTCAGAGACTCTCTGTTTATGGAGAGAAATCGGGAATGAAAGTTATAAAAGATTTGATAATGAGTCAATCAATATGACATATTTTTTTGAAAAAAAGGTGGGGTCATTATTTATAAAGTTGATGATCAATATGGTTTTTTGTAAGGACAATATGAACGGTGATAGCTGCATTTTGACTGTGTGAAATGAATGGAGTTTTATGTCCTACTTTTCTGCACCTTAAGCCCAACGCAGACGAGGAACATTTTAAGCGATCATTTTTTTCACCGTCTGTGGATTACAGAAACACAAACACGAACAAAAATGTTTGTGAAAATTGTTCGTGAAATCAAACATGTTTGATTTTTTTAGAATTGATCGCCGTCTGCGTTAACCACGAACATTAGCGCCGAACGTTTATCGACGAAAGACCAATCAGCGATCGAAGCCAGACCACATGACACTCAAAATCGCGACGTCCAGTGAATCCACCAACACAAAATTTTGGACTGTGGAGAAGGAGCAGATTTTAGTAGATATGTGGTCGCAATCTGCCTGTTTGTTTATGATTTCTTCGCCTGACTATTCAGATAGAAACAAGAAGTACACTGCGATGCAAGAAATAACACAAGCCCTGGAAACAACCGGTAAATTTACAAGGTTGCCGAACACACCCTGCTCTTTACGACGTTGAATCCGGGTACAGACCCAAATGCTCCTATTTCGCCGCCTACGTTGGCGTCTTTTATAAAATTAATAATATAGCAAACGCAATTTTACATTTTCTTCTGGACATCGCCATTTTGAGGTCATGTGATTTTCCATGGCAGTGGCGTATTGTTCGAGCTAAATGTTCGTCGTCTGTGGAATTATGTTTGTCGTCTGCGGATGACGGGAAAACAAATATATTTGTTCGATGTTTTTGTTCGTCGACAGAAATGTTCCTCGTCTGCGTTGGGCTTAATTGGGCTGTTAATGGATATTTTTTTTAATTTGTAGTGCCAGGCTATAAAATATAATGGAGTTAGATTTACCTATCACTGGAGTTTGTATTGTATCAGATCCAACAAAATGTCCTCCAAATTACACACTGGTAGGTGGTCAGATTTTATCTTCCTAGTTGAGGATTAAAACATGAGCAATATAACATATGACATGCAGTGGTTTCCTCCCTTTCTTTTAAACATAATTCTTTTTTTATATCATAATGCATAAAGCTTAAAATTAACAGAATTAATCCATTCCTCTCAAATAAGTGCATAACAATACTCTTTTTTCAATTATCAGTTTTCTGCTGACGTAACTAGAACTACCCCTGTGTGATCCCCCCTACCCTGTCCTACACTTTTATAAAAGTTCTGTGATGTATCAGATTCTGATTGTAGATTGATAAAACATATGGAAGTATACCAGAAGATGCTGATCTATGGAAAGATCGAATGTGGGGTCGGAAAGTAACCAGATATTTATGTGTAGAGAGAGGCTACTCAGATCAGGTAAGACAATTATGCGGCGTTGTCCGACATGGTAGTGGCAACGTATAAATTTTTTGCTCAGTTTTTGGAGATTATAATTTGTGCTCTGTATTAATACGAGATATTTTGATCAGTAAATATTGTAGTCTAGCTATATGTATATTACAGTACAAGAAAGTTGGTAAGTTATTAGGTAGAATATATTATTGTGTTTAATGTAATTATAGGCTAAGAATGTACTGGTTGATGTTGCTATAATAAATGAAAAAGATCCAGTCCCTCCAGGTTTTACAGTAGTTGATCCTACGTATGACACCAGTAAGTATTTGTTGAAATTTTTGATAAACATTTCACCAAAATACTGGCATACTAGTCATGTTGATTTTCTAGAGCCAAAAATTAAGTTCCCTTCTTCCCCACCTAATAACTAGTTGTGTCTGTAATTCTAGGAGAGAAAGCTATTAAAAAGAAAGTATTATGTGTACGATGGATGGATAAGTCAATGACACTAGAGATAATAACAGAGTTAATTTTACTGGGGAAAAATGTTCGTAAACCTCCACAAACTTTTACATTAGTTGGGTTAGTATTTATTATTTTTACTTAGTTTACATTAGTTGGTTATTTATTTCTGTAATAAGTTTTACATTAGTTGTTTATTTATTTCTGTAATAAGTTTTACATTAGTTGTTTATTTATTTCTGTAATAAGTTTTACATTAGTTGTTTATTTATTTCTGTAATAAGTTTTACATTAGTTGGTTATTTATTTCTGTAATAAGTTTTACATTAGTTGGTAATTTATTTCTGTAATAAGCTTTACATTAGTTGGTTATTTATTTCTGTAATAAGTTTTACATTAGTTGTTTATTTATTTCTGTAATAAGTTTTACATTAGTTGTTTATTTATTTCTGTAATAAGTTTTACATTAGTTGTTTATTTATTTCTGTAATAAGTTTTACATTAGTTGTTTATTTATTTCTGTAATAAGTTTTACATTAGTTGGTTATTTATTTCTGTAATAAGTTTTACATTAGTTGGTTATTTATTTCTGTAATAAGTTTTACATTAGTTGGTTATTTATCTCTGTAATAAGTTTTACATTAGTTGGTTATTTATTTCTGTAATAAGTTTTACATTAGTTGGTTATTTATTTCTGTAATAAGTTTTACATTAGTTGTTTATTTATTTCTGTAATAAGTTTTACATTAGTTGTTTATTTATCTCTGTAATAAGTTTTACATTAGTTGTTTATTTATTTCTGTAATAAGTTTTACATTAGTTGGTTATTTATTTCTGTAATAAGTTTTACATTAGTTGGTTATTTATTTCTGTAATAAGTTTTACATTAGTTGGTTATTTATTTCTGTAATAAGTTTTACATTAGTTGGTTATTTATTTCTGTAATAAGTTTTCAACCTGAGTAAGTCTGTTTCTGCTATATATTATGATAAAATGTAGTCTTGTATTTCCAGTGAATTAAATGGTTTATGTATTTGTTATAAGATGGGTAGACTGGCTCCTCCAGTCAACAACGTAAACGAAGTAAAAACAACCAACATCAACCATTACCAAAATACAACCATTGATGTGTAAGTTTGTAATTCAACTGGTTCAAACCTTATCCTTGTTGTCTCTATTAGAACTGTCTGAATAGGGCTTTAACCCAGCTGTTGGTGAGAAGGAGGTCCAGGTTTCCTAGGATAGCTCATTCTAAATTTATGAACTGTTTCAGTAGTTTCTATTGTTTTTAGTCAGGTGTTTTGAATCAGACTTGAAGACAACTAGTAATTTTATCTTATTATTCTATCCAATTTACCAGGTAATAATAGAACAGAATATGAGGTGTGTATATAACTAGGAGACAGTTAGAATACATAATTATAATTTCAGATCAAAATTAGGTTCCAGTCTACCGTACCCCATTAACCCAGCTGCTACAACATCAGCGCCCTCTATTAAACCAGCAGGGGGTGAAAGTTCTACCGCCCAAGTTCATGGTAACTACAGTTTCTTATAATAATCAACATAATTTCTATACCAGGCAATGGAAGAGATTTTCTGTTCAACTATATTACTAGTATTTAGAAATTTTAAATTTTAGATTCTGTATATGATATGTCAGTCTAAATTATTAAAATAAAAATAAAATCCATCAACATACAATTGTATTATTTTTCAGCATTGGGAGGCGTTCCTTGGCAACTTAACCCTAAATTACAAAGTATTGCAGACCTGAAAAATGTAAGTCTATTTTTTGATATATTTTGTATTGTTTGAAGAGTTGAATTAATTCTCTAATTAATTTGATAATTGGTTGAATTGTTTTATTGATGTAATATTCTGTGTTATATTTCAGATTGTAATCCCCCAGATACCATATAAATCTTTATATGATGTATCAATACAGGTTAGTTAGAAAACTTGTGTTTTAAAATATACTGTAACTATAATCTTGTTAAACAGTGAGGTACTTACCAATACTCTAGATATCAGGCGTATAAATAGAAATAAACAATAACATATAGAAAATATAATCTTCTATAGGTTTTACAACTCAAAATATTGGCTATATTTATATAATGGTCAGTAGAGTTTCTATGAATGAAGGGGGCTTGGTAGGGGAGAATCAAAGGTTATTCTTTTAAAAGGTACAATAATAATAAATTAAGAAGTAGGAGAGCCTTGGTTGTAAAGTTGGTGTTGGGTCTATCTATAGCTAATAAAATTTATTTTTCTTTTTTCAGTATGAATATGATTTTAATATTGAAAGATCTATTGTATCAGGAAAATGAAACTAACCATCATGTTCACTGGTTTTCTAGCGTGGTTCAGATCAACAAGAAGTAGGCGTGTAACAAGAGTAAACATGAAACAACATGTTCAGTTCTACAGCTCTGTCATAATGTTATTATTTTCTCTCAATTTAAGTTTAGTGTTAGTGTTTATATAACAAGTTTTATTTTCAAATTTAAGCTGGTTGTTAATAAATATATTATTGGTGGTAACAATAATATTACATCTGCAGTAGTTTCAAATTTTATACAAGTTATAATTATTTTTATTCTTTGTGTTTAAAATAAGTAAGTAGAGTTGATTAAATACTCTGTCAAATTTGGAAATAAAATATTATTTAATTTCTCTGATTACAACTTGGTCAAAATAATTCTTGAAAACACAGTCCAGGATTGAGAAATTAGATTACGATCACTGTGAGTTAATTGTGTTTATTATGTGTTGTAGCTCATTTATACTGTGCTCTAAGAAAGTTTTGTTTATTTCTCAGGGCGCTGTGTGTCATGTCATTAATATTTCTGTATAAAATTCACAATTATAAAGGTATTTAGTTGTGTAAGATGGTGGAAATATTTGTATTATTCTATATATAGGACTCTCGTGTATTTTCATGAAACAGTTTTGTGAGCTCAAGTTATTTAAAACCTCTAGAGAAATTTGTATTTCATCCAAGGCTTGGTGCTAAATGTTACAACCCAGCTCTAGATACCCCAGCTCTAGATACCCTACCCAGCTCTAGATACCCTACCCAGCTCTAGATACCTCAGCTCTCCATACCCCAGCTCTAGATACCCTACCCAGCTCTAGATACCCTACCCAGCTCTAGATACCTCAGCTCTCCATACCCCAGCTCTAGATACCCCAGCTCTAGATACCCTACCCAGCTCTAGATACCCTACCCAGCTCTAGATACACCAGCTCTAGATACCCCAGCTCTAGATACCCTACCCAGCTCTAGATACCCCAGCTCTAGATACCTCAGCTCTTCATACCCCAGCTCTAGATACCCCAGCTCTAGATACCCTACCCAGCTCTAGATACCCTACCCAGCTCTTCATACCCCAGCTCTAGATACACCAGCTCTAGATACCCCAGCTCTAGATACCCTACCCAGCTCTAGATACCCCAGCTCTAGATACACCAGCTCTAGATAGGTAGATATCAAACAATGATTTCAGCCGATTTCTTCAAACCAGAATATAATGTTTGTATTGTCCATGATAAATAACTATAAAATAAAAGTATTGTATATTAACCTGTAGATTTGTGAATATTGTAAATAAATAACGCCATTACTATCAATAAATATTTTAAATTTTTCCTCTTCAGTTTTAAATAAAAAAAATAAACCAAATATTTACATTGCGAACCACAAAACAAAACCCAAAATCCAAAAATACCTTTTGGCGAAACATTAGTAGTTGTAGAACTTTTCATATGAGGAAGTATATCAATTATAAGTGAGTAAGTATTTCAAAAGTGGTATCAGGTGTCTAGAAGAGTATATTTTACCGGTTTGGATATACGAGTGCTGCCAAAACAAAATATGAAATAAATAAATAAATATCATAACATGCCTAAATTAGAAATAAAGAATTCTTCCCCTTCCCTAGACTACATATCTGAGTGAAATAGTCAGCCCGTATTGACTTGTATTATATTTCAACTGGGCCGATATTAATAAAATGACGTCACTATGAACATCTGTTGACTGGCTGGGCGCCATCATGATAACACTATAGGTAAATTAATGTATTTATCATAATTTCATTTTATATCAATATTTATGTTCTATCACAAGGTTCTAGTGATGCTGGGTATCGGCTATCGGAATGTTTCACATGCCTCGATCTCTGCCATTGTGGATCATCAGTAACTCTCTGTATTAAACTAACCAGGTAAGGTGAGATATTATAATATTTCATACATTCTGTTACTGATAATATATTGGTTATTTTTTTAATATCGTTCGAGACAGAGTGACTAATATCTCTAGAAGTATCGAAAACAAATAAGTTCTTTGGGATAAGGGTAAGATTTATAAGTGATATACCTGATCAGAATATAAAGCGAGTCATGCTGTTTACTATACTAGAACACCGAACAGTAATACCTAGAGGTGCCAATGAAACAGTGTCATAAATGGTGCTACTGATGCCTTTAACTGCACAATGGAGCAGCAATCTACTGGATTCTACCTGTCCGTCAGATATTGAACACGCTATGAATAAATAAATCCAATAGAAACTGTGCCAGGACATTAAAAATATTGCAATCAATTTTACAACAAAAGAAACAACTGACAAATATGTCGTCTGACCTACTTTCTTAATAGTTGAAGTTTCAAGGTTTCAATCTAATTGATATCAGGAAATAAGAACATACTGAAATAGCTGGGTCTGTGTTCAGAATGAGATTAGAACATACTGAAATAGCTAGTTCTGTGTTCAGAATGAGATTAGAACACACTGAAATAACTGGGTCTGTGTTCAGAATGAGATGAGAACATACTGAAATAGCTGGGTCTGTGTTCAGAATGAGATGAGAAGATACTGAAATAGCTGGGTCTGTGTTCAGAATGAGATTAGAACATACTGATATAGCTGGGTCTGTGTTCAGAATGAGATTAGAACATACTGAAATAGCTAGTTCTGTGTTCAGAATGAGATGAGAACATACTGAAATAGCTGGGTCTGTGTTCAGAATGAGATGAGAACATACTGAAATAGCTGGGTCTGTGTTCAGAATGAGATTAGAACATACTGAAATAGCTGGGTCTGTGTTCAGAATGAGATTAGAACATACTGAAATAGCTGGGTCTGTTTTCAGAATGAGATGAGAACATACTGAAATAGCTGGGTCTGTTTTCAGAATGAGATGAGAACATACTGAAATAGCTGGGTCTGTGTTCAGAATGAGATGAGAACATACTGAAATAGCTGGGTCTGTGTTCAGAATGAGATTAGAACATACTGAAATAGCTGGGTCTGTGTTCAGAATGAGATGAGAACATACTGAAATAGCTGGGTCTGTGTTCAGAATGAGATGAGAACATACTGAAATAGCTGGGTCTGTGTTCAGAATGAGATGAGAACATACTGAAATAGCTGGGTCTGTGTTCAGAATGAGATGAGAACATACTGAAATAGCTGGGTCTGTGTTCAGAATGAGATGAGAACATACTGAAATAGCTGGGTCTGTTTTCAGAATGAGATTAGAACATACTGAAATAGCTGGGTCTGTGTTCAGAATGAGATGAGGACATACTGAAATAACTGGGTCTGTGTTCAGAATGAGATTAGAACATACTGAAATAGCTGGGTCTGTTTTCAGAATGAGATGAGGACATACTGAAATAGCTGGGTCTGTGTTCAGAATGAGATGAGAACATACTGAAATAGCTGGGTCTGTTTTCAGAATGAGATGAGGACATACTGAAATAGCTGGGTCTGTTTTCAGAATGAGATTAGAACATACTGAAATAGCTGGGTCTGTGTTCAGAATGAGATGAGAACATACTGAAATAACTGGGTCTGTTTTCAGAATGAGATGAGAACATACTGAAATAGCTGGGTCTGTTTTCAGAATGAGATGAGAACATACTGAAATAGCTAGGTCTGTTTTCAGAATGAGATTAGAACATACTGAAATAGCTGGGTCTGTTTTCAGAATGAGATGAGAACATACTGAAATAGCTGGGTCTGTGTTCAGAATGAGATTAGAACATACTGAAATAGCTAGGTCTGTTTCAGAATGAGATGAGAACATACT